CCCCCTGCGCTGGCGCCGGCGGCCGCCAACAGCGCCGACGGCGGGGACGCAGCGACGATGACCAGAGGCAGCCCAAGGGGGAGGGGGGGTCCCCCCCCTGGCGCCGAGGGGGGGGAGGGGTGTTTCAAACCCCCCTTCCCCCCCCCCGGCGCCAGCGCGGTGCCGGCGCTGGCGGCGGCCAGTAGCGCCGTCGCTGGCGCCAGCGACGGCGGGGACGCAGCGACGATAACCACAACTGCACCACCACACCACTACCACCACCACCACGCCACAACCCACCACCACCACCAACAACCCACAACACAACCACCACCACCACCACCACCACCAACACAGCCACCACCACCACCACCACAACCACCACCACCACAACCCACCATCACCACCACCAACACAAAAACCCACCACTACCACCACTGCCACAATCGACCACGCCACCACCACCGCCGCCACAACCACCACCACTACCAGCAGCACAACCAACCACCACCACCACAAACCAACCACCACCACCACCACCAACGACACCATCACCACCACCAGTACCAGCTCCACAAACCACCGCCACCACCACAACCGACCACCACCACCACCGCCACAGCCACCACCACTACCAGCGGCACAACCCACCACCACCACCACCACCACAAACCACCACACCACCACCACCACCACCACCACCGACACCACCACCACCACCAGCACCACATCCACAAACCACCGCCACCACCACAACCCATCACCACCACCACCACCACAAACCACCACCACACCACCACCAAACCACCACCACCACCACAACCCACCACCACCACAAACCACCACCACACCACCACCACCACCACACCACCAGCACCACCACCACACCACCACCACCACCACAACCACCACCTCTGCCACCACCACCACCACAACCCACCCCACCACCACCACCACCACCCACCACACCACCATCGTCTCGTCGACGCTCCCCGCCGCCGCCGCCGGCAGCCGCAGCGCCGCGCCGGCGCCCGCCGCCGCCGACGAAGGCGCTGGCCCGAGGAGAGGGAGAGAGGAGAAGTAGGGGAGGAAGAGGGGACGGGTTCGAACCCCCCCCTCTGTCACAGGACGGGGGGTGGGGGGTTCGAACCCCCCCCCCTCCATCCAGGGCGGGGGGGAGGGCCGGTTCCAAGCCCCCCCCCCTCCAAGCGACCACAGAACGCGCTCTTTCGTACCTATGCTTCCTGATGTACTCGCTGGGCGGAAACAGGCACAGGCTCCACCTGTTTACCCCCGGCGCTTCGCGTGTTTTGCGAAGAGGTCTGGGGTAAACAGGTTCTCGTTCTACCTGTAGAAGCAGCCGTTCGCACCACAGAGGAGTTACAAGTGATTGCGCTTTGGATCGCCTCCCCCCCCGAGTGGTGGTCGACCTGTAGAGCTTGGCTGCTGCACTTGCCCCCCATTGTAGACAGGGCAGGCACAGCCTGACAGAAGTGAGAAATCCGCGCTATAGGCTCTGCGTGCACCCGCGCCACCGTCAACGACGTCCTGCCCACTGGCACTATCTGGGGGCAGAGGCTGGGACCTCCTTGATCCACGTCGCGGCAAAACCTGGCCCTCCCTGGCAGTCCGTCCAGCCCATGGAAACGGATTGAGAATCATCAGGCGCGTTCGTCTGTCCCATCGAGAGATCTGAACTCGGTCTGCTACTCGAGCTAGATCCGCGAAACCATTCGTATCATACGAGTGACCTTGATAGGTGCTGTCGGTTTCCCTCCGACAACGCACTGGCATCCCACGCGAGCGCCGATCGACGGGGGGCCCCCGCGCGCGCAAACAGAGAGGCGCGCCGGCCAGGGCCGTCAGGGAGAGGAGAGAGGCGGAGGGAGAGAGGCGGGGGGCAGCGGGAAGGAGAAGAGGAGTGGGGGAACGGGTTCGGGGCAGGGAGGGGGCATCTCGGGTGTTGCTGGAAGTACCACTGGCCCAAGGTGCCCCCGGGATTCTCGAGGTGGCCCAGGCGGCCTCCAGGGCACCCCTTACGAGGCCCAGGGGCCCCAGGGGCTCCAGAATGGTGCGAAAAGCTGGGGGCACATTGGGCGAGGGGCACTTCTAGCAACACCCGGAGTGGGGGAGCGGGCTCGGGACAGGGAGGGGGCATCGTGGAGGGAGGGGGCTGAGGGGAAAGGCAGCAGGACGGAGAGGCGGGGGAGGAGGAAGCGAGAGGAGGGCGGCAGACAGGGGAGGGCCCTGCTCCTCCCCCGCAGCTACTGCAAACAGGTTTGCCACTTCGTGGCTGGATCCTTGCGTTCTGCACGTGCGACCCTCTCCCCCCGCGGTGGGGCACGTGGAATACGGCGATCCGTTCGCCCCCGCGCCTATAGATCCAGATCGGGCGGGCGGCTCTGCAGGCGCAGCCGCGAGCGCACATCCACTGGGGGTGATGGAGGAGGCTGGCGCTGGCACGATCGCGACGCCGGTGGTCTCGAAACGACCCCGGCGCCATCCGACGCCGATCAGGGTTGACCCTGCTTCCGCCGGGAAGCCCTCCGAGAACAATCAGGTGAGGCGCGCGATGAGTTCGCCCCATGCTCCCAGGGCGCGCAGCAGATCTTCATTCGATGAGGGAATTGCGAAAAATTGGAGAGGAAGAGGATCCGGATGCAGAAACGGGAGAGGATTGGAAAAGGAAGGGGGCGACCATAGTGGGAGGACGATGCGAAATATGGAGGAAGCCGAAGGTCGAAGAGGAAAAAACAATTGGGGAGAAGCAGGAAGACGACGACAGCCGAAGACGGAGGAGGGGGAGGAGGAAGATCAGGATCGGGAAGATAGCGGCGATGTCTCCGAGCCCCTCGGGGGCAATCCCGCGCGGGTTGGATCGCTCGCTCGGCGCAGCGCCAGCGCCCCGCTCGCGAGCGTGGCCAGCGCGCGCTCACCGTTTCTTGATTTACCCCCCACCCCCCGCATCGCGCTTCTCCTGGCCTCTCCCGCGGGCGATTTCCGTTTCCTTCTCCTGCTCCTCGTCCTCTTTCCGTCGCCACCTTGGCTCGACCCCGTGGCGGCCCGCGCTCGATGTCGAGGCCCATCGGGCTGCGGGGCAAGATGAGGCCAGGCGACCCGCGCTATGCAATGCAATAGTTGTGTTTGCGCCGGCCTTCCCAGGTAGACCGCGTGACCAGCCCCGTTCGGGCGATCGGTTTCTGGCGCCATTCAACCAACGCGAATATACGCATAGCCGCCAACGCAGGTAGCGCTTGGGATGCGCGGCCGGGCGGCATCGCAGTGCGAGGGAATCCGCCGATCCGGCGCGTGAGTTTCAAAGACCCTCAGAACAGCCTGAAACTCAGTTCCTGAGTTTCAACCCTACTGGGGGGCGGGTGCTTGGGTGGCTCTGCCGGGTAAGGGGGGGGGGGTCGATTTGATTCCCGGGGCGGAATCGGAGCTCCAGACCACTGCGGGACGGCCCCCTCGCCCAGAAGGCCCCAACATGGGCCAAGAGGGACCCAGGTCGCCGAACGATCGCTACAAGACGCCCAAGATGTCCCTAAAACGGCCCCACAAGCCTCCAACATGCCATCAAAAGCCCTGAAAAGGCTTCCAAAAAAAAACCAAAGAAGCCAAAAGTGCCCCATTCCCTCTGGAAAAACGTACAAGTTTAGCATATTCGCCTCTCGGGCCATCAGAGCGTCGCACACACCCCAAGAGAGCCCAAAAACAACCCACGAAGTCGCCAAGAGGGTTCCAAAACGGCCCAAGAACGGCCCAAGATGGCCCAGGAGGCCCCCGGAAAAGCCCAAGAAGGCCCCAGGACGGGCCCAAGAGGCGCCTGAGAGGGCGCCAAGACGGCGGAAGAAGTGCCGAAGACGGCCCACGAAGCGCCAGAAGGCCCCCTGAGGTCCCCAAGAAGCCTAAAGCGGCCCCAAGACGCTTCCAGCTGGCCCCGAAGAGGCCCCTCTGAAGCCCCCTAAAGGCCCCGAACAGTCTCAAAAAATGCATCCCGCACGCCTTCTAAATGCCTCCATGCTGCCTCCAAGGCTCCCTCCGAGAAGCCCAAAACCAGCCCCAATGCTTCCACGATACTAACGTCTGAACACAAGCGCTGCAATACAAAAAGATCCCCCGTCTTCGGTGTCCTTCACATCCATGATCTCACAAGGGCCCGCAGAAGACCGCGCGAAGGCCCCAGAGACCCCGAAAACACCATTGTTCCCTGCAAAAACCGGCGATGCACAAGGCCCCACAAAGAACTGCGACGCTGACACATCTAGCACAAAGCTTGTCAAAGAGTGCGCCAAATCGGCGAGGTGTCAACCCAAAAAAGGCAAACGCCTGGCCCCAAGAAGTCTTCCCAACAACCGCCGAACATCTCTAACAACCGCCGAAAATCTCCTCATCCTCGTCATGTTCCTCCTCCCCCTCCCCCTCTTCCACTTCCCGCTTCCTCCTTCTCCTCCTCATCCTCAGCATCCTGCTGCTCCTGTCCCTCCCCCCATCCACCCCCCTCCACATCAGCATGATCATCCTCCTCCTCCTCCTCCTCCACCTCCTCCTCATCATCATCAGCATCATCATCATCAGCATCATCATCATCATCATCATCATCATTATCATCATCATCATCATCATCATAATCATCATCATCATCATACTCCGTTGCCCCCATTCCCAATCCTCATCATCATCCTCACCGCTCGCCGTCGTCGCCGGTCATGACCGCCATCGCGCGCTTCCGGCGGCAGCAGAAGCGTCCCGGATCGGCGGCACTGGCCAGAGGCCACCACAATAAGGTCAACCATTTCCAGCGGCCCACGCGCGCAAGTCTCTCGACAACTGTCCAACGCGCTCAAGATAAATAAGCTATGTTGCCCGGCGAAAATGGGTGGCCGACCGTCAACGAAAGGCTGCGGTGACTACCCCTTTTTGCCCTCCAAGCTCCGCCCCCTCGTCCCCTTCATCCTCCCCCTCCTGCTCCCCCGAAAGGCCCACCGACAACCCTGGGGGGCGCGCGGGGCGTCGGCTGCCTCCGAGACGTAAAGGCTCGGGGCTCCGCCGCCTGGCGTTTCGCTCCAGGGGTGCCCGCCGCCGCCGTCGACGTTGTCGCCAATCGCCGTCGCCGCAATCAGCATCGTCATCCTCGTCGTTGTCGCTCACCGTTGC